CTGCTCCTGAGTCGGAGCGTTCACATTAAGCCCATTCCTAGTTATAGCTTTCTTACTCGCTGCAAGTAAAACCTTAGTCAAATATAGATCGCCTCACATCACAACATCCTTAATGTTCCCAAGATACATCACCGGGCAGGTATTTGGGATTCCATATCCCATAATAATTTTGACAACTGCATTAACCTTCTCCCAATATGACCTTATCTTTGTACAGTTCCATAAAATGTGCGAGTGGTCAGCCTCCATGTTCCCACACAACCTCCAACATTGTTGGCAACTTTAAAGCTTACTCATTAAAACATTTCTTTAAATTGTACCAAAAAATGCATTGTTTGATTTATGGGAAGATATTTGATGGTGCTTTTATTCTCAAAACAAAGTAAGAATTGGAGAACAAAGAAGCTGGGATACAGATTTCTTATCATTTGAAAAGAGCCATGCTAGCTGTTTGCAACCCCTGCTGGCTCCTATTTATCACACACAGTTATGTCGGTTTCACAGCAGTGTATGTCTATTTTTTTGACCTGTCCTCATGTGATTCACTCCCTAGCTTTTGTCTCACATCTCGGTATGGATTAGTTCCATCATGACAGAATATAAACAGAAACCACACAGTCTGTGGCTCACTGTGGTCAGGCTGCGTCTGATTTCCTGACCTGAGAGTTTTAATCGTCACTGCTGCATTGTGTAACAGTTTTTCAGAGAAGACCGCTGTGACTCAAGCTGTGTGACCATCATGATGACAATGTGTTTTGTGTGTGTGCCGTGTGTGTGTGTGTGTGTGTGTGTGTGTGTGTGTGTGTGTGTGTGTGTGTGTGTGTGTGTGTGTGTGGTTTATGTGTGTTAAAAACAGGCTTTGGACTACACGCCAGGAACCTGGAGGAGAACCGATGTCCATCTGGAGAATCCAGAGTACCACACCAGATGGTTCTTTAAATACTTCCTGGGAAAAGGTCAGTGCTGCTCTGTGGTGATCTGTTAAAAAAAACACACACACCAACCCACACACACAGTAAGTGTTACACAGAGGGCTACATAAGGCTGATTCCTTCTGGTCGACTTGTTTGTCGTTGTGCTATAGTCTGACCAAATTTGGACAATCGCTGGTGGTACTTTGAAGTAGAAAAGTGTTTCTAGGCCAATATTTTTGGGGGTCTGGGGGGGAATTTGTGTAAACACACACAGTTATTTTCAAAGGCCTCAGAATAGTGCTACTATAATGTAAAAGTTGGCATATGAACAGTGGTTGTAACTACCATGTACCATGTACCAACTACCACGTTGGTTTAGTGGTCTCATAATTGGTTGTTTAGATGCAGGCAGCTAAACACAAGAGTTCAAAAAGACTGGTCTTTTTAATAGCCAAATCATTTTATCATATTACTTTTTTTTTTTTGGAAAATGCATGAATGAGCTGGTGTGGGCTGTGTATGTAGCTTTCAGTATAAAACAATCTGCTCAAAAAGATTTTGCTGCTTATTTGTATTTGTATATCATAATTTAAGTTAGCAGTGCACCGGTTTGGTTAATCCACTGTAACGTGCATCATTTGATTTGATGAAGATTTATTTTGGTGAACTACAGCTCAAGAAACCATGGGTTAATGATAAAGGAGAGCCACAGAAATAAAACATGGTCTGAATCTCTTCCCTGGTCCACAGGACACTTCTTATCTTATGAAGTCATTCATGTCCTTACTCTGCACCACTCTTCATTCAGGGCCAAAACTTGTTAGCATCCAGCAATATCCCCACAGCGAGTCTCAAACACACTCTAATCCCATACTGCGCCCGGGGAGGAAGCCCTAGAGGACACACACACGGCAGAAAGAATTGCCTCCAACAGATAACGCAATTAAGATCGGACTGTTGGCTCCTGAAATGAGCCTGGCGCTCTGCAACAGGCAGGCAGGCAGGAGCCATTCACTGTGATTGTTAAAATATATATATTTAGAAGTGCTCCTTTCACCTTTGTGACCCTCATCATCTCTCCGTCCTCATTATCACTGCGCCTCGCTCACAGTGTGGGCGGCACAGAAAGTTGTGCAACAAAAGATCATTGTCCGGGGTTTCTTTACCGTGACTCGAATCACATTCAACTCTAAAAGGATGAGATAAAGGACGGAGGAATGGAAGTGATTGTGATAAAAAGTTAGAAAATGTCTCCTCCAGCCAGGGTGTAATCACGGTATGGCATGGACAGTTTAAAATGTGGCCATGTCTCCAGAAAGTTGGCTGCAAACCTGTTTGGACTGCAGCTGAGCCATCTGCGTCTCACAGCCGGAGCAGAGCCGACTGCATGGTACAACACATTACCAGGCCTAGGCCAATTATTCTAACACTGGCACTTCCTGTGTAATGAAGCATCCAAAACAAAGGCTCGAATTCTCCATGTCTTGATGATTAGGTGAAGAAGAACAAACGTTGTTTCCTCATTGTCTTGCGTAAGGTACGAAGACAACTCTGATTACAATTTGCTTTTCTTCCCAAATAAATAAAAGCTCAAGCTGTCTAAACTAATACCTGTATAATCGCAAGCCAACCATGCAAAGTCATCGCTAACCTGAAGCATGAAAACACTGTGAATGGAGAATAAAGAGAGCTAAAAGCCGAATAGAGAAAGAAAATGTGGGATAAAGAAAACATTAGAGGGAGAGAAAGCACCCGAGGGAGGACAAAGGAAGGGCCGGCAATGCAGAGAGATATCCTGCATCTAATTGGGTTTGGAGGTCTGTTCATCATTGTTTCCCAAGATGTTGCCCTGTCAACCGAAGAAGAGGAGGCATGAATGTGTGAGTCTGCTGCTGAGATCTTTGTCTGCGACCACACACAGAGGAAACTGGTGATGAATGAAAGGAAGGCAGAAATGATGAAAGAATAGGAAGGACAGAAGACAAAAAAAGCAGGGAAACACTGAGATTTTAATGAATTTTGGTGGCCTTCTGCAACTAAATCATCAGTTCTCTGATCACTTTGTACGATACGATAACACTTTGTTGTTAGAGGAAAGCTGAAATGTTTCTTTCTTCTGCGAAATGTTTCTATGCTTGAACGTTCAAAAAGCTCTTTATTTTTCTCATACTGCCTGTGGTGCAGCACCTCTTTTCACCCTCTCTCTGAAACCAGAGCCCAGTCTGCTCTGATTGGTTAGCTGTCCGGCTCTGTTGTGATTAGTCAACCGCTTAGAGATGTCCCGCCCCTTAGTCTATCACGTACAATGCATTTGAGGGCTAGCCAATAGAAGCGCAAGTCTTACATAGTGATGTCACTATGTTACGGAGGTAAACAAGAGAAACTCCCTCTGGAGGGAACACAGGGATTTCAGCCTTTGCAGACCATTTACATGCACACAATCCTATATAACACACTACAGGATGTGGTAAACCATAACAGCATAATAGGGCCTCTTTAAAGTGGGTGTGTGTATAACTGTGTACATTTTCTCTGTCTCCCTCAGTCCACCAGAACTATGTGGGTACAGACGCAGAGAAGAATCCCTTCTACCTATCGGTCGTTCTCTCGGATCAGAACAACCAGCGGGTCCCTCAGTACCGAGCCATCCTCTGGAGGAAGACGGTGAGATTAACATCTGCACACTAATGGTGGAACAAGTTCTCAGGTCCTTTATACACGTAAACATAGCACTGAAGTCAGTCATACATGTTGGCGGCTGTGGTCTGTACGGACCTTGCTTGGTAAACAGAGGCGCGCCACTTCAAGTATCCAAAGGGAGAAGTAAGTAGATCATAAAGGTTTACATAGCACTTTACTATTGGAGTCAGGTCCCCTTTGCTAAAACAAGTTTAGCTAAACAGTGATATTATTTAAGGTTTTTTCTCTTGTTTGAATGATTTCATATTTGAAAAGTGTACCTATTTGACCCTAAAATGTATATCGTTACGACACTACCTATGGAGTTTTTTATGGTAAATCTCTAAGTTCAATTTTGTAAAATAAAAAATACAAACTTTACCTCCAAAAATAAGTTGAGTAGAGGCATAAAGTAGCATGAAATGGAAATACTCAAATGAACTACAAGGACCTCATTACTTAATGTAGTTACTTTCTACCTTTGCCTCATTACTCTATTCTTGAGTCTGTGTGCATGTGTATGAGATGCATGTTTATTATTGTGTGTTTGTATGAATAAAGTTATTATTATCAAGTTATTATTGTGACTCAGCTTTATGACCAAGATAGCTGGGATTTAATTTAGCCTCCTCTGTAAACTGATTAGGCTGGTAGACCTCCGCCGCCTGATCACATTGATTTGTCTTGTTCCTGTCACAATGCTGCAGGATGTTGTTGTTGTTGTTGAACAGAACAATCTAGTTTGATTTGAATTGCTCCGATTTAACTTTGTGATTTTTTTATGACTGATAGAAGAAAATATACTGGGACTTTCTTTAGTTTAATACTGAGTTTTGAGGATGTTCTTTGATAAATGAGCAACAGGTTGTAATCCCTGATCTGTGTTGTTGTTGGCTCAGGGCACTCTGAAGATCAGCCTCCCCTACAGCCCCACCAAAACACTATCCGTCAAGTCCATCCTAAGGTGAGTGTGCAGCCTGCAGCTCAACACACACATTGCATTCACTCTGGTCAACACATGTACTGAATCAGAGGGGATATTGTTGGTTATCTAAAGCTGGGCTGAGACATAAAGACTGAAGCAGAGCCTCTCATTTGCCCAGTAGCCGTTATCGGCCCGTCCACACAGCGGCGTGCGTTGTCGCTTGCCGGCGGGCGTGTCTGAAACTCGACCAACAACCAATCACATGAATCTCCCGCCCCGGACACACAAGCGCGCGGTTTGATAGGCTAGAGCGTGTACTGCCATATGATTCGATTGGCTGACGCTTCTGCCGAGGCTTCAGAAGTTGAACATTGCTCAACTTTTGCAGGGTTATGGCTAGAAAGGATCCGTCTTGGGTAAATATGACGTCACGTTCTCGTTGTAACTCTCGTTGTAACCGGAGCGGCTCGGAAACACATCTACAGCAGTAACATGATGCAACATACACATGAATGCAGCAGCAATATTAATAGAGAAACATCAGACTTAATAGTAAAACACTGAAAGGGAACATTTTATTGCACCAGGAACTATCTTTGGACTTTTACTGTGACAACGTTGACTTGCCTGTAGACAAAAAATAAAGCATAGTGTTGGTGATCTACAGTGTTGTCATTCTTCTTTGAACAGCAAGACCGCTAACACCCTATTTCAACAATCACACTCCCTGTCATTGACATAATGAATAGATGGTTTAGCTTCTCACCATCATTTGCTGTGGCCCACTGATGTTAACGATCGTAACTGAAAGGCTGCCTGCCAAAACGTAAACATTCAGCCACGTGACTTGCAAACTCTCGCGTGTTTTACACAAGACGGATCCTTTCTAGCCATAACCCTTTTTGCAGCAAGCCACGCCAGCAAAGCTCCGCTTCGCTTCCCACAATGCAGTTCGGCGAAAAGTGACGTCACCCCATTCAAAGTGAATGGTGAAGCTTTCAATGCACACCGCTGTGTGGACGGGCCGAAGGAGCACCGTTTTTTATGTCAAAGCCCCACAAATACAGTATAATAGATAGTCTATGTACTCTACAGGACACAGTGTTTACTGGTGTTTTGGTGCATTCATACTGTATTTGCCACAAATTATCACTAAATCTTTATTAAGAAAATGTTATTTTTGAAAGTCTCTATTGGGGTATGATAACATTTTGTTAAAACAAGATATGCAGCTTGGTCTCACAGTGGTAGGACATACCCATAATCATTTCAGTTATTTGATTAGTTTCATGTTTTTATTTTCCTCCTCATGAAGAATTTATCATTTCAATCAGAAGAAAACATGACACATGAATAATGTGTCATGTTTTTTTTTTTAGAGTTTTGTGATGAGGGTCTTTAATGTCTACTTTTTCCCCCTATCCTGCATACACAAAGAGGATTTGTAAATAATGCAAATTTCAAAGGCAACACCAAATGCCATTGATTTTAAATACGTGAAATGGACATAAAGTACATACAGAAAAATAAAGAAACCATTTAAAAAAAACGATTGAAGGTGAAAAGAAAAGAAAAATAAGAGGGAGAGTTTTAAGGATTTAAATGTCTCTTGATTTGGTTGGCCATCAATGTAATGCTGCTGTTAACAATTATCTTCATTATGATGCAAATGTTTTTGAACATTTGGGGAAATGATAAGTTTTCCAGTGCCCAAGGAGATATATTCAAATATATTTAGGTTCTAGTTATTTATATAATGTATAATAAAACAGCAGGAAACCCTCACTTTTGAGAAGCTATAACCAAATAATGTTTGTTTTACAAGCACAATCGTTAAATAATAGCACGATCGCTCTAAAAACTACTCAATCTGGAGACTCATATGTTGTGTTCAGTATCAGATGTCCTGAGTGACAGGTAACAGGATATAATAAGATGCATGAAGCAGAAGATTGGAGATTATAAATTCCTCCGGCTGAGCGCCATCACTCCTCAAAGTGAGGATGAATGAGGACAAGCAGGAAGAGAAATCCCCTGTATCAGGTCTCTCATTTCTCTGTGCAACCCTTAAGGCTATTTGTCTTCCATCGATCCTAAGCACTCCCTTTCTTTCTCTTTTTATCCATTACTACTTCCTCCTCTTCCCTTTATCCCAGTGCAATGAACATGGACAGGTTTGAAAAAGGCCCGAGGGAGATCCTCAATGCCGAGATTCAGAAGGTGAGACTCAGAGCAAATGAAATGAAGCACAGGTCCTTTTCATGCCAGGCCTGATCAGCAGCATGTACACTTCACACCATCCTCAGGCTGACGGGCTGGTCACTGTCACTGTTTATTATAATTATTGTGTCCTCTTTCCTCAGGATCTGCTGGTGTTGGAGGAACAGGAGGTATTTTAGATTATTTTCCATTTGGTTCTGTATTGATGCTTTTTCTGGTAAAAATCCTTGACATACTGTTGATACAAACACTTTGATATTGTCTTAGATCTTTTAGGATAAAATATTTATATTTATCTCCAAGTGTATTCCTTTTTACATGTAGTTACTAGTATGCACAGTAAATGCATGCTTTCAATACTGTTCCATCTTCTGTAAATGCCTAAGTTGTTGTTTTTACATTCAACACTGATAATAAGCACTTCTAAAAACCTTGTGTGTATCTTTTGCATCATATTTATTTGCATAGGAGCATAGTATGATAAATAAATAATGATATCAATTGTAAATAGTTTCATAATTCTAACCCAGCTATAATTTTGTAGGGTTCTGTCAACTTTAAATTTGGAGTCCTGTTTGCCAAAGACGGCCAGCTCACAGATGACGAGATGTTCAGCAACGGTAAATCCTTTATACTTTTTTTACTTCAGTGTCCAAACACTATTTAAGGAATGTTTTCATTTTGGGAAATGTGGTTTCTTGCCAAAAGTTAGATAAGAAGATCAATAACATCTTATTATCGATTGTTGGAGGCAGCAGCTTAGGTTAGTTTAGAATTAAGACGGGAAAGAGCGGGAAAAAATTGGCCTAATTCTAAAAAAATATCAAAATCCACCATATTCTCTCCTTATAACATGCTGTATCTTATTAAGATGCACAAGGCCAATACATAGTTCAGAATCAGATCATAAACCCTGTTACTTATAGGTTTCACATGTTTTTTGTACATGTATAGAAAACAAGATAACATTTGTTAGAGAGCGTTAGAGATGTGGCCATGTGGATTGTATTGCTTTCTGATCTGTTAGTCTGATGAGCGTGATATCAAACATCTTATCTAACCCCCCAGCAAGAAAGCACTTAAGGGTATTTCCCAAAAAGTCAACCCAACCCTGTATTAAATACATCAAAATGATACCTGCAAAGTTAAAAGTCCTGTGTTTCTTTCAGAGATGGGGAGTGACAGTTTTGACAAGTTTCTCAATCTGCTCGGTGACTCCATCACGCTGCAGGGGTGGGCCGGATACAGGGGGGGGCTGGACACCAAGAGTAAGAGGCCTCTGAATAACTACATGATTAAAAAGTACAACGCTTTTTCAATATGCCCAACTCTCATTGTCTGCTTCTGTTTCGGTCCGTTTTCTCCTGCAGATGACACTACAGGAATGAACTCCATCTACACGGTGTATCAGGGCCATGAGCTCATGTTCCACGTCTCCACCATGTTACCCTACTCTAAAGAGAACAAGCAGCAGGTGGGTTTCTGCATTATTATCTGTTGTATAGTTCTTATCTTCAGCCACAGTAAAATGTCAGCCTCACGGCTCAGAATCAGATATTTCGACATCTGGATTTACATGAATTTGTTTAAAAGATTCAGGGTACCCAGAGGATAGATCCTACAAAACTTGGCAATTCTCTATCTGCACAATGAGGGTTGCATTTTTGTATTTTATTGAACATTTTTCATGGTCCCCAGGGCCCAGTGGTTCAAAACTTGTAATCCCTATCTGATCGGATCAGATTTGGATTTTGGGTAGTTCAAAACCAAAAAACAGGATTAGGATCACTTTGATGTCCGATCAGATCAGGAAATCCAATCCAAGCTTTAATCTGGATCAAATCTTCAAAATGGGTAGTTCAAACCGACAACACAGGATTTGGATCAGTTTGATCCCAAAAAACTGGATTATCTTGATCCCACTAGAGGGGTGGATTTCCAGTGGATTACCAGAGCAAAATGTACTGCACAATTTATTTAAAAATATGTTTCAATATAAATAAGATGGCAAAGTTTGTTAACTGAAATAATACATAATTTTTAGCCTTCATGGCAAATCAATTTGCATTTTCATTTTTTGGTCACGTTCGGGCACCTAGTTAGGATGCCACCTGGGCGCCTCCCTAGGGAGGTGTTCCAGGCACGTCCAGCTGGGAAGAGACCAAGGGGTAGACCTAGAACCAGATGGAGGGATTATATCTCTTCGCTGGCCTGGGAGCGCCTTGGGATCCCCCAGTCAGAGCTGGTTGATGTGGCCAGGGAAAAGAAAGTTTGGGGCTCTCTGCTGGAACTGCTACCTCCGCGACCCGACCACGGATAAGCGGGAGAAGATGGATGGATGGTCACGTTTGCGGTGGCCTATTTTGTTTTCAACCACATGTTGATGACATACATGTTTATGCTCATAAAATTATCACAACAAAGATTGTCAATCACAAATGTAATTTAGATTAAAGAAAAAACATCTTCAACAAAAAAAAAGACAAGGTGATGACTGTCATTACCTTTCAAACGTAATTGCGGACAATAGATGTCTCTGCAATGTTGTCTCTTGTCTTCCTTGTATTATTTTTCATATCCACTAGATGGAGATCGGTAGTATTAAAGCACTGATATTCAGGATCTAGTAATATTGAAAAGTCTGAATCTGGATCAGGGTGATCCTATCCTGAATTGCTTTGAAATACAGGGACAAAATCTGGCCGAGTTGTCTGATCCTGGATCACAAAAAGAGGGATTTCAAAATCTGATCGGATCTGATTGAGATTAAAAGTTTTGAACTACTTGGAAGATTTTACATTTTAGCTTTGGTTAAAATCGGTCCAAAGCTTTGGTTTTTCACTATTAAAGTATAGCAAGGCAAGGTAAGTTTATTTAAATATCACCTTTCAACACAAGGCAATTTAAAGTGCTTTACAAACAATGGACATACATTAGGATATAGTGCAGCAGAAACACATTTTAAAATTACATCTAAAAACATTTAAAAACAGTCAATAAAAAGCAAAGAGAGTAGAAGAAAGGAAAAATAAGCTAAAGTAGAAAGAAAATAGGTAAAAAAGACAAGAATAAAAGTTACAATGCAGTGTAAAATATGAATAATTATTTAATTGAGAAAAAAACAATTGCATTTAAATCGGGTCTGCTACCCTTTTTCTCCCGTTCCTGTCTATTTTAAGATCGCAAAAAAGCCAAAGAATTACCGTCTCTTTCGGCTTTCCCCTACAATTAGAGAAATTGCAGAAATTCAGTCACAGGTCCTCATCTCTCTGTCATTTAGCAGAAAAAAGACCCTAACTGAGAGGAAGCCAGTAAAATAGCCAACAATGTGCTCACTGTAGGAAGAAAAGAAGAAGAGAGGACGTCAATGCTTCAATGTAAAGCTCCTTTCTGTTATGTCAATATTAGTGAGTATGACTCAAAAGGGCTGCTTTGCAGATCTGACATGTAATTGGATTTCTTCTTATATAAAAAAGAAGAAAAAAAACAGTCAATATTAAGGAACAGGGGGGGGGGGCAACAACTGGAATCACGGGAAGGAATATGAATCACACCTGAGAGGTAAATTCAGTTCAGCTTAACGCGTGAAGTGTAGTGTTGTTATCCACCCAGCAGTGTGTTGTAAAAAAAAAAGCCGTACTGATACTGAGGGTAAACAAAAGTTAACTCTGGCATGATTTCCAGAAGACATTAATATTAAAAGCAACAGGATTTATATTCTTAAAAATAGAAATGGTTCTTCTCTATGAATTTGGTTATTGAATATGGTCTCTACCTTAAGGTAATAACATTTGAGAGTGAATATAGTACTTTCTTTTTTTTAAAGGTTGTTTTTATTAGATTAGATCGTAAAACACACAAAACACGAAGACTAAAATGACAACAATGTTAAAATAATAATACAATACAAAAGAAATCAATGAACATGACATCATTTACATTTAAAATGAATACAGTTAATACAAATACATACACATAATGCTAATGGGAATAGTAACAATAAAACTAATTAAATAATTAATATAATAATGATTATAAACAAATAATAGAATACAATAAAATACAATACAATACAATGTAATATATATAATATTATATTATATAATACAATTTATATTTTTACCTAAATTCAGTACTCAGTACGAATGCTAATTTCTCTCCGTGTCTGCTGGATGTGTCGTAACAACTTTAAACGGTGTCTATATATCAATGCTGCGTTTACGGTTTGTTGCTGTGCCCCTAAGTGACCATAAAATCAATTAATCCAGCTTTAAAGACTTCCTCCTGCCTCACATGAATCACAGAGCTCTGTGGTTAAGTTTTTTGTCTCACCTTGTGTCTCTTTCGTCTGTCAGGTGGAGAGAAAGAGACACATTGGAAACGACATTGTTACCATAGTATTCCAGGAAGGGGATGACGCATCATCGTCCTTCAAACCGTCTATGATCCGATCGCACTTCACCCGTATCCTTCACACGGACTGAGATTTTCAGAAAAAATGAAGTGGTAATCAGCTCAGAAGCTATGAGCAGATACCACATCATAGTGTCTCCTTTATAATCAGTGTTTCCTTCACTCCCTGTCCAGATATTTTTGCATTAGTTAGGTATAATAGCCAGAATGACAGTTACAGGTGAGTGCTTTGATTAACACTCTGCTTTAAGGTGGTTCAATCCACAATGTGCATCTACCTTTTGATTGTTCCTTTGATTAAATGATTAAACAGAGAGTTCACCACCTTCTACTGTATGTGGATGTCCAATCAGTGGTGTTGAAGGTTATGGTTGTCTTTTGAGACAATACATTCCTCCTTTTGCACCATGAACATTTGCTGCACTTCCTTTTATCTTTCCTGCATTTGAAGTTAAAGTGAAGTATTTCATGCAAAATAAGAACTTCAAACTATTTCAACTTGGATGTCTAATCTCCAATTATTCGTACCAAGGCAGCATTCCTGAACCAGATGCCACTCTCTGGTTTGTAATACTAGCAAAGTGAACTTACTTTGCAAGTATAAGAAACCAGTTATGTTTCCAAAAGAAAAAATGGTAGCCCTCAAAGGTTATTATGCACATTGTGTTTGGACTTAAATACACAGCAGTTTTTAACAGAGCAGAAACAATTTGAAATGTGAGAGGATAGCCAGCAGGAACATGTAGGCACTGCCAATACACCCGTCTGTACAGGATAAATCAGCTTTCTTGGTTAATTAAGGACATGTTGAGACTAATTGTACATCAACATAAAATGTGGTACATTTTCCCTTTAAAGAGGACCTATTATGCTTTTGGGGTTTTCCATTTCCTGTAGTGTGTTACATACTGTAGGTTGTTGTGCATGTAAATGGTCTGCAAAGGCTAAAATCCTACCTTTGGACTCCTTTGTTTACTTCCTGAACATGATGACATCACTATGTAACACTTACACTTCTATCGGCTGGCTCTCCAATGCATTGTACGTGATAGGCTAAGGGGCAAGTCATCTTTAAGTGGTTGACCAATCCCAACAGAGCCGGCCAGCTAACCAATCAGAGCAGACTGGGCTCTGGTTTCAGACAGAGGGTGAAAAGAGGTGCTGCAGCACAGGCAGTAGGAGAAAAATAAGGAGCTTTTTGAGCATTAAAGCGGCACAAAAGGCACAATATGTCCTCTTTCAAACAAGTTGTTCATGTTGCATACTGTTGATGTGCTTGACATCCATTATAAGAGACATATGAGATATCTGCTCTTTGTCACAGGTTGAAGATATTCTCAGAGGAGAGCGTTCCACTGTTTGGACCCCCTCTCCCATCTCCACCTGTGTTTACTGATCACCAAGAATTCAGGGACTTTTTATTAGTCAAACGTAAGGACATTTGAGGAAAGATGCATACAAATACAGCCATTCAATGACCTTGATATGCTAATGTTCTCATCTGATCTTTCTTCATCCCCTGCAGTAATCAATGGAGAGAAAGCCACACTGGAGACGCCAACGTTTGCCCAGAAGCGCCAGCGGACACTGGACATGTTGATCCGCTCGCTCTACCAAGACCTCATGCCTGACCTGCACAAGGTACCGCTGCTCAGTGACTCTGAGTCCTGCTCATTCTTGAATTAACGTCCTTCTTTTTTTTTTACTATCCAAGTTGTCTCCTCCTTGTCACTTCAGTCACTGCTAACTTTTGTTCTGCTGTATCCACTGCAGCCCTCTGCATACTGCACCACACTGGACTGCTGCAATGCTGACTTTCTCAGCAGGGCTCTCTCTCCTCACGTCACTTTTTTATCTTAATTCTCTTGTTTTTTCCCTATCCTTCTTTCCATGTTGCTGCTAACAAAATTTAATTCTCACTGCTGCTGTCTCACCCCCTGCCAGGGTCAGTCTCTAAGACCCCTTTCTGCTTTCTTTTTCCCCTTCATGTGCGCGTGTGTCTGTCTTTGTGTGTTGGTGTTCCATGTTTAGGTTCCTTTTTCTCCCCAGAACATGTTAAACCGGCGGTCCTTCAGCGACGTGCTGCCTGAGTCTCCGAAGTCTGCACGCAAGAAGGAGGAGGCACGGCAGGCAGAGTTTGTCAGAATAGGGCAGGTAAGGAAGTGAAACACACACACACACACACATACACACACACACACACACACACACACACACACACACACACACACACACACAAAGGTGGTATTACCAACCAATTAGAGAAACACCCACTTGTACACACACATGGAATCCAGGATACACACCCACATAAAAGGTAGAAACTCACAAAGAGTGTACAGGGCCAAACACACCTAGTGAGGAAACTTAAACACTATGCACATGTTTACACAGATGTTTACATTAAGACTTTATCTAACTTGTGACATGTAACATGTTATACATACACTTTGTAATAAACATATTCATCTTTTGTAAATTGATTCAACGTTAAAACTTGCATTTCAGAGTCTAGAAGGAAAGTGTAAAAAAACTCTTCTTAACTCTTAGTTTAAGAATAGCGAGTCCAAAGTAAAAATATAGAGAAACTGCAGTTGTCCCAGAAGCAACAGACATCTTTTGAAACCAGCTTCTCTCAATTGTGAGGAATATCTGTGAGTCTTTATACTACATCATGTAATGTAAGGGCTGTAATTCCAGACAGACATCACAGTGAACTGGACACCTGCTCTCAGGAGGGTCAGGGTGAAATCATATACTGTAGGAACATATCTCTGAGACTCTGTCTAGTACTCATTACGGGGCTGATGTAATCACCATTATAATTCTTTTCTAAGCACCTACAGATGATATAACTATGATTTTGCATGAACTAAGTCTGAAAACACAGAAAAGAAAAGAGTTAAGAACTGTCCGTGGCGCTGACCCTAGATGACCTCCGGCATTAGAGAATCTGGTTGTTTATAAAATAATTGATATTCTTGGGGCAAATGAGTGGTCTGTTGTAAGCTAAAACATAATATATTAGTAATAAGGCATTGTTGTTGATATTGGGTCTTTTTACCCAAGCAAACCAAACAAAAAACGAGATATTTTTATTTTAGGTATAAAATGCTGATAAAAGAAATAAGGTAGCAATTTGTGGCTTGTTGTGATAAGGAAAAATACTAAATTAGACCAATCTATCAGGATTTGTTGTGAACTATACCCTCACCATACCATATACTCTAAGGAATATTGTATTAGTTCAGCTGAGTAACGGCGATAAAAGAAGGTGGGTTTGCAATTGCAGAAGGAGCTCTATTATGCTTATTTTTTCTTTTATGGAGTGGGTTATATAGATGTTTGTGCATGTTAATGCTTAAAGGCTCCCCCCCACTCCCCAGAACATGATGACATCACTATGTAACACTCGCGCTTCTATTCTATCTCTAAGCGGTTGACCAATCACAACAGAGCCGGCCAGCTAACCAATCCGAGCAGACTGGGTTCTGGTTTCAGACAGAGGGTGAAAGGAGGAGCTGCAGCACAGGCAGTATGAGAAAAATAAAGATACACAAAATACAAATAGGAACCTGAAAATGAGCATAAAGGGCCACTTTAATAGCTTCTAAAAACACATGTTTATGTGTCCAAAGCACTTCTGTCCCTCTTGTTTTTGTTGTTTTTTATCTTAATTTGCTAACCCATGTTCTTGTTGGTGTTGCTGTTTTTCTCTTGCTCCTGTCGCTCACCGCACATAAACACAAAGCCGAGGCATCGACACAGTGTGCTGTAAAGCATGAAAACAAAGGAAGGTAGAGTTGTATAGGCATTGATTATCTAGTTCTGTAGAGACGAGGCGTTTGTCCTCAACTAAACAACTAAACCGACTCCCTCAATGCACATTTAACACAATGCTTTCATGTTGTCATGGACTCCTGATAGGTCAGAATATGTATTTTTATGGATATTTTCCCACGGATGGCAAAGTACACAGCACAGCCTGACCATTGTTCTGTCGGGTGCTATTGATTTCATTATCTCCAGATTGCCTGTTTATGCAGATATGTAAATAGAGATGCTTGACTGTGCAGCTCGGATGGACATGCTCAATCTGATCAGATTGTTGAGCATTTGTGCAAACATTATTCTATTTGAAATCTAAAGCAATTACACCTTTAATTTAGTGTATTATGATGTTTTACTGTGGCCAGTCTGCTTTCCACCTCTGTGTTTTTCACAGTTTCGCTGACAAAATAATCAGGAAACAAGGACTCATCAATGGCAGGCTAGATTGATATTAGTGACGAATAAAAGATGTATAATTCAGAAAGCTCGGTCCACTGTCCACCTTCTTGAAAAGCATGTATATGCACTATGTAACGTCTTCTTCTTCCAGCACTTTAAGCTGTTACATATCTGATGGCATTATGTTTTTTAGGCGCTGAAGCTGAAGACCATTGTGAGAGGAGATGCACCGACCAGCCTTGTCACCACCGGCCTGTGCAGAAAAGAGGTGAGAGCACGTCTATTTTTACCTTAAATGACACAACATCTTCGTAATTTAGTGGGAATGCTGATACAGCATTCCAACTACTTGTTCTTCTACGCACGAAATTCTTTATTATTCCGCCAGGTTATTTTGCCCTCTTCTGCTCCCACATTCCACATCGCAGAAACTCCGTTCGAACATCAAAACGTTCAGCTCGGTCGGGAATCGATGGCTATTACTTTTCTTATTCATAACTTTCATAATTCCAGAGATACATCCCATATATATATATATATCCTCATCACATTTTTAACATGGAAGTCAATGGAGAAACTCTTCAGATTTGAAAAATCTTCATGCAACTTCAACTGCTAACTGTTCCTTCATACTTTCACTCAGAAACCTCATTCCAACTTCAAAATGTTACACATCTTTCTGACATTATTCGTGTTACATAACTTTTAAATCAGATTCATACTTTTAGAGATATCAAACATTGGTAAAGACGCCTTCTTCAGATTTTAAAATGTATGTGTGTTGCGCAGCTCATTGAGGCTTAAAGTGCGTGATGTCACAGCTAGAGTGGAGGAGAGCTTGAAATTCGCCTTCATATTTTTTTTTTAATCTGGATCCATGTCTCAACAGCTCTACGCCAAATCTGAGATTTCAACATAGGCTGTTTCAATTGAAACGCATCCCTGGCCAAAAAACACGATGTTGTCGTAACTCCTATGCAAATGGTCAAAACAGCAGCAGACTTCAGATGATGGCTAATGGTCCGGCCCTTAACAGCTCTACGTCAATTATGGGGTTCAGTCATATGCGGTTTCCATGGAAACGCATCCCTCGCCATAAAACACAATGTTCTCGTAACTCCTATGCAAATGGTCAAAACAGCAGCAGACATCAGATGATGGTTAATGGTCCGGCCCTTAACAGCTCTAACGGCCCCTACACACGGCGGCGTGCGTTGTCGCTTGCCGGCGGGGGGGGGCTGAAACTCGACCAACAACCAATCACATGAATCTCCCGCCCCAGACACACAAGCACGCGGTTTGATTGGCTAGAGCTTGTACTGGCATATGATTCGATTGGCTGACGCCTCCGTCCAAAAGTAGAACATTGCTCTACTTTTGCAGCGAGCACCGCGAGAGAAGCCACACTTTGCTCCCACAATGCAGTTCGGCGAATCGTGACGTCACCCCATTCAAAGTGAATGGGCAGAAGCGTTGAAGCGGCAACGCACGCCGCCGTGTGTAGGGGCCGTAAGTCAATTGTGGGGTTTCATCATATGCCGTTTCCATGGAAACGCATCCCTCGCCTTAAAACACGATTTCGCTGTAACTCCAATGGACAGGGTCCGATTGTCCCCCAAACTTCACTTGTATATCACCAATCCATGCCTCAACAGATCTACGCCAAATCTGAGATCTCACCATAGGCTGTTGCCATGGAAACGCATCCCTCGCCATAAAACACGATGTCGCTGTAACTCCAATGGACACGGTCCGATCGTCCCCCAATCTTCACCTGTATATCACCTCTCCCTGCCTCAACAGCTCCACGTAAATCTGACTTCTCACCATATGTCGTTTCCATGGAAACGCATCCCTCGCCAAAAAACACGATGTTGTTTTAACGCCTATGAAAAGGGTCAAAACAGCACCAGACTTCAGATAATGGTTAATGGTCCAGCCCTCAACATGTCTATGTGCCAATAGTGAGTTTTCCTCAAAAGCTGTTACCATGGCAACACATCCCTCGCAATAAAACACGATATTGCTTTAACTCCTATGAACATTTTCAAAAAGTGCTCAAACTTCACGTGTGCTAACAGTCCAGTCGTGAAGACATCTACGGGACAGTTTTGAGGTTTCTTCAATTGCTGTTGCCATGTAAAAACAATGCTCGCCATGAAACACGGTTTTCTCATAACTTCAGTGAAAATACTCCAAACGGCCCAAAACCTCACAGGTTTGGTAACGATGCAGCCATCAACACATCTAAGCGTATTATGGGGCGTCATCAAATAGATGTGTTGATGGCTGCATCGTTACCAAACCTGTGAGGTTTTGGGCCGTTTGGAGTATTTTCACTGAAGTTATGNCAGTGTGTACTTTATCTGTGAGGTTGATGAAAGAGACCTTAGTTTAACCTCCGAATAATGTAAGTGTGTGTGTGTGTGTGTGTTGTGTGTGTGTGTGTGTGTGTGTGTGTGTGTGTGTGTGTGTGTGTGTGTGTGTGTGTATGTGTATGTATATGTGTATGTGTGTGTGTGTAGGTGAGTGTGTGTGTGTGTGTGTGTGTGTGTGTGTGTGTGTGTGTGTGTGTGTGTGTGTGTGTGTGTGTGTGTGTGTGTGTGTGTATGTGTGTGTGTGTGTGTGTGTGTGTGTGTGTGTGTGTGTCTGTGTGTGTGTGTGTGTGTGTGTGTGTGTGTGTG